TTCTATAGAAAACTGTACTGACGATCACTTTTCTATAGAAAACTGTACTGACGATCACTTTTCTATAGAAAACTGTACTGACGATTACTTTTCTATAGAAAACTGTACTGACGATCACTTTTCTATAGAAAACTGTACTGACGATCACTTTTCTATAGAAAACTGTACTGACGATCACTTTTCTATAGAAAACTGTACTGACGATCACTTTTCTATAGAAAACTGTACTAACGATCACTTTTCTATAGAAAACTGTACTGACGATCCCTTTTCTATAGAAAACTGTACTGACGATCCCTTTTCTATAGAAAACTGTACTGACGATCACTTTTCTATAGAAAACTGTACTGACGATCACTTTTAAATATAAAATTGTACTGACGATCACTTTTACATAGAAAATTGTACTGGCGATCACTTTTCTATATAAAACTGTACTGACGATCACTTTTCTATAGAAAACTGTACTGACGATCACTTTTCTTTAGAAAACTGTACTGACGATCACTTTTCTTTAGAAAACTGTACTGACGATCACTTTTCTATAGAAAACTGTACTGACGATCACTTTTCTATAGAAAACTGTACTAACGATCACTTTTCTATAGAAAACTGTACTGACGATCACTTTTCTATAGAAAACTGTGCTGACGATCACTTTTCTATAGAAAACTGTACTGACGATCACTTTTCTATAGAAAACTGTACTGACGATCACTTTTCTATAGAAAACTGTACTGACGATCACTTTTCTATAGAAAACTGTACTGACGATCACTTTTCTATAGAAAACTGTACTGACGATCACTTTTCTATAGAAAACTGTACTGACGATCACTTTTCTATAGAAAACTGTACTGACGATCACTTTTCTATAGAAAACTGTACTGACGATCACTTTTCTATAGAAAACTGTACTGACGATCACTTTTCTATAGAAAACTGTACTGACGATCACTTTTCTATAGAAAACTGTACTGACGATCACTTTTCTATAGAAAACTGTACTGACGATCACTTTTCTATAGAAAACTGTACTGACGATCACTTTTCTATAGAAAACTGTACTGACGATCACTTTTCTATAGAAAACTGTACTGACGATCACTTTTCTATAGAAAACTGTACTGACGATCACTTTTCTATAGAAAACTGTACTGACTATCACTTTTCTATAGAAAACTGTACTGACGATCACTTTTCTATAGAAAACTGTACTGACGATCACTTTTCTATAGAAAACTGTACTGACGATTACTTTTCTATAGAAAACTGTACTGACGATCACTTTTCTATAGAAAACTGTACTGACGATCACTTTTCTATAGAAAACTGTACTGACGATCACTTTTCTATAGAAAACTGTACTGACGATCACTTTTCTATAGAAAACTGTACTAACGATCACTTTTCTATAGAAAACTGTACTGACGATCCCTTTTCTATAGAAAACTGTACTGACGATCCCTTTTCTATAGAAAACTGTACTGACGATCACTTTTCTATAGAAAACTGTACTGACGATCACTTTTAAATATAAAATTGTACTGACGATCACTTTTACATAGAAAATTGTACTGGCGATCACTTTTCTATATAAAACTGTACTGACGATCACTTTTCTATAGAAAACTGTACTGACGATCACTTTTCTTTAGAAAACTGTACTGACGATCACTTTCCTTTAGAAAACTGTACTGACGATCACTTTTCTATAGAAAACTGTCCTAACGATCACTTTTCTATAAAAAACTGTCCTGACGATCACTTTTCTATAGAAAACTGTCCTGACGATCACTTTTCTATAGAAAACTGTCCTGACGATCACTTTTCTATAGAAAACAGTCCTGTCGATCACTTTTCTATAGAAAACAGTCCTATCGATCACTTTTCTATAGAAAACTATCCTGTCGATCACTTTTCTATAGAAAACTATCCTGTCGATCACTTTTCTATAGAAAACTGTCCTGTCGATCACTTTTCTAAACTTCACTGTCGATCACTTTTCTATAGAAAACTTCACTGTCGATCACATTTCTACAGAAAACAGTCCTGTCGATCACTTTTCTATAGAAAACTGTCCTGGCGATCACTTTTCTATAGAAAACTGTCGTGGCGATCACTTTTCTATAGAAAACTATCCTGTCGATCACTTTTCTATAGAAAACTGTCCAGTCGATCACTTTTCTATAGAAAACTGTCCAGTCGATCACTTTTCTATAGAAAACTGTCCAGTCGATCACTTTTCTATAGAAAACTGTCCAGTCGATCACTTTTCTATAGAAAACTGTCCAGTCGATCACTTTTCTATAGAAAACTGTCCTGTCGATCACTTTTCTATATCAAACTTATCTATCGATCTCTTTTCTATATAAAACTTGTCTATCGACCACTTTTCTATATAAAACAACTCAATCGATCACTCTTGTGTATGAAACTTCGACTACTTTTCTATATAAAACTTCCCTATCGATCACTTTTCTATCTATCACTTTTTTGTAGAAAACTCCTCTATCGATCACTTGTCTATAGATAACTTCTCTATCGATCAATTTCTATACAAAACTTTTCTATCGATCACTTTACTATAGAAAACTTCTCTACCGATTACTTTTTCATAGGAAACATCTCAATAGATACATACAATATTTTCTATAGGAAGCTTCTTTAATCTATTTTATATAGAAAACTTCTCTGTGGATCCATTTTCTAAAAAAAAACTTCTCTGTTGATTACATCTTTAAAAAAAATTATACATTCAACCATGTTTTAATAAAATAAGACTATCCTGCCGATCACTTCTATACACAAAACTGAGCTGTCGAGCACTTTTGTAGAGAAAACTAAGTTGTTTTTGTGAATAAAGATTATTTTCAATTTTGGAAAATTTAAAGTTTGTGTTACAAATTATCAGTTCCACTGTTTAAACTAACTGACAAATTCATTCAATTCATTGCACACACAACACCTTCTTCTTAGCCCTTCATAAACGTATGCAAACATAATTATATACATAAATACGTACAAAACAATTTATATTTGTTTTATGAAAACAACCCCTCTTTTTACAAAAAGTTAAGCTTTTGCTAATAGTTTTTCTCTTCTCCTGTCTATTGGCCATAGAAAAATGTCAATGAACCAAATGAGGAAATAATAATAATAAAATTGTGTATATTTTTGTATGGACAATGCACTTGTTGACAGGTCACTGTACTATAATGATTATTATGTTATAGTTTTGTAACATTTTCTTAATAAATTAAACAAAAAAAAAAAACAATATGGAAATAAAATAAAGTAAAACAATGCAAAATTTAATGGATAAGAAGAGCAATATTTTGATATAAAATAAATTTTATTTTAAATTAGTTTATTTTGTGAATCAAAAAAAAAAAACAGCAAAACAACTTTGCATGTTTGAATAAATTCCAAGATAGACAAAATTGATAAATATTTAATGTTAGAAAGTCAGTTATTTAAAGCATTTTAACGCTAGTATGTAATTTAATTATACTAGATATGAACACCTCGAATACAACAGACGTATACTTATATTTAATAGCTCAATAAATTTTAAAATAAAAGTTAATGAACATTGGTTTTTACTGAATAGGGGAAAATATTATGAATGAGTAGTATTTAATTGGTTTAAACGATTTTAACTAATGTTTATATGTTAAAATATTAAGGACATTAATCACTTGCATTATATCAAGTGTTTTGAAATATTTATGAGTCATGTGTATTTCTTAAATAGTCATTAAAGAAATACTTAAAACGAAAAATGTTTTTACTATTTTTATTGTTCGTAAGAAATTCTTGCAATATTATTTGAAAAAGAAAGCTTATATTTAGAATAGATATTTGAACTGAACAATTTTCATACGATTTTAATATGGAAAGCTTTCACTTTTCTATAGAAAACTTCACAGTCGATCAATTTTCTATAGAAGACTTCACTGTATAAAACCTTTGTTCTATAGAAAACATTACTGTCGATTACTTTTCTATAGAAAACTATACTGACGATCACTTTTCTATAGAAAACTGTCCTGTCGAACACTTTTCTATAGAAAACTGTACTCACGATCACTTTTCTATAGAAAACTGTACTGACGATCACTTTTCTATTGGAAACTGTACTGACGATCACTTTTCTATAGAAAACTGTACTGACGATCACTTTTCTATAGAAAACTGTACTGACGATCACTTTTCTATAGAAAACTGTACTGACGATCACTTTTCTATAGAAAACTGTACTGACGATCACTTTTCTATAGAAAACTGTCCTGTCGATCACTTTTCTATAGAAAACAGTCCTGTCGGTCACTTTTCTATAGAAAACAGCCCTGTCGATCACTTTTCTATAGAAAACTGTACTGTCGATCACTTTTCTATAGAAAACTGTCCTGTCGATCACTTTTCTATAGAGAACTGTCCTGTCGATCACTTTTCTATAGAAAACTGTCCCGTCGATCACTTTTCTATAGAAAACTGTCCCGTCGATCACTTTTCTATAGAAAACTGTCCCATCGATCACTTTTCTATAGAAAACTGTCCCGTCGATCACTTTTCTATAGAAAACTGTCCCGTCGATCACTTTTCTATAGAAAACTGTCCCGTCGATCACTTTTCTATAGAAAACTGTCCTGTCGATCACTTTTCTATAGAAAACTGTCCCGTCGATAATTTTTCTATAGAAAACTATCGTGTCGACCATTTTTCTACAGAAAACTATCCTGTCAATCATTTTTCTATAGAAAACTGTCCTCTCGACCACAGACAGAAAGCTTTACCGTTTATAAGAAAAGTTTTCATTCAATAACTGATCTTTTGAAAACATTTATACAAAAAACTTTCTGATCAATCACTTTGCTATAGAAATCTTCAATGTCGATCTCTTTCCATTCGATCGATTTTCTATAGAAAACTTTCCTCTTAATCATATTTTCATAGAAGCATATCGCGCTAACAGAAAAGTAAAAAATCCCACTCACCTCCAAATCAGGTCCCGGGTATGAAATACGTTTCAACTTTTCCATTTCTTCCTTATTTTTACGACTTTGTTCTTCAATCTTTTTGCGTTTTTCAATTTCTTTATCCAATTTCTTTTTCCATATTTCATCATTTTCCGCTATAATTTCCAAACAATGCTGTAAAGTGCTTAAAACACCAGAAGTAGTGGCGCGGAAAGTAATCGATTCACCCTGACAAAGTAAAAGGAATAAATACAAATGTTTATACAATATGTTTAAATTACATAATAAATAATTTATATAAATATTATAAATTTACCTTAAAATCAATTGGTTTTAAGCCATCACCTAAATCCAAAGGTATATCTGTGCCTTTATATGCTTCCGCACATGCATCAAAATATCTGCAATGGAAAAAAAAAGAACACAACAAATAGATAGACATCAATCGATTTACAATTTATATAAATATGTAAGTAAATTATTAATATTTAATGTTTTAATATTAAATTACCTTTGCAAGGTTTCTATTTGTCCAAATAATATATCCTTGAATGTTTCAATTTCGCCAACTTTCTCCTTGAGATTACGTTGGGACTTTTTCAAACTACTGCCACTAGCTACTGAAACAGTATTTGATTGTAATGACATTGTACTGCCATGACGTCTCAATGATGTTGTATCTGTGCTAGTGCTGTCTTCTTTATACATACGTAATACTTCTACCCAGTGCATACGATCCTCGGGTGTTTCCGCACGTAAACACCAGTTATTATAATTATTGACCACAACATCAAAACGTAATTCATCCGTTTCATGTGGCTAGAGTTTAAATAGAGAAATTGTATAGCATATGGTTAGGAGCATTTTAATTAACGTTATGAGATTGGTGTAAAGTTTTTAATAATAATTAGGATTGGTAATATACAATAATAGAATGTATTTTAAGTACAATTTTGTTTACATATAATTATTATTTTTATATTATTAATCATTAAAATATTTCAAACAAAAAGTTTAGAAATTGCATTTATAGCGAAACAGAAAAAACATGATACAATTTATTGTGACGTTTTAGAGCTATTTTTTTTATCATTAAAATAAATAACTTCAGGGTAATTTACATTATTGCGGTATTCATTTACTTGTATATTTTTTATTCTATTTAAAATTTGTTTTTTGATAAAGTTAATGAGGTTGTGACAAAAGAGTATTAAAGGCAAATCAATGAATATATAATGGACGCAAAAATGATTAATAATGTAAATAATCTATACAAGTGTTTTCTGACATTTTATCAATATGTTCAATTTCTATTAGTAATTGGAGTATTTTATTTTAGAATTTAAAAAACATGAGAGATATCAAGCGCATACAATTTTGACTTTTCCAAACAGTCTTTAACCTTTGATCAAACGTAGTTTGTTTTTAATAGAAAACCTTTCTTTCTGTAGACAAATTTTGTTATGATCTGATTTCCTTCAATCTCAATCCTTTCTGAAAAGGATAGTTTCGAAAACAACAAAAAACTATCCTGTCAATCACTTTTCAACTTTAACCTGTACTGGCGATTAATTTTTAATCATTAGGCGATTACTTTCTATAGAAAACTGTACTGCATAACACTTTTCAGTAGAAAACTATTCATACGATAATTTCTCTGTAGATAACTATCCTGAACACCAGTTTCCTACAGAAAACTTCCATGTTCTGATGAAGATCACTTTTCTATACAAAACGGTGCTTTTTTACGAAAATCAATCTTACCTCTCGGTAACTTTTCCATAGAAAACTGTCCTTACAATCACTTTTCTAAACAAAACTGTCCTTTCAATTACTTTTGTGATCACTTTTCTATAGAAAACTGTCTTGTCGATCACTTTTCCATAGAAAACTGTCTTGTCGATCACTATTTTATAGAAAACTGTCTTGTCGATCACTTTTCTATAAAAAACTGTCCTGTCGATCACTTTTCTATAAAAAACTGTCCTATAAAAAACTGTCTATAGAAAACTGTCCTGTCGATCACTTTTCTATAGAAAATTGTCCTGTCGATCACTTTTCTATAGAAAACTGTCCTGTCGATCATTTTTCTATAGAAAACTGTTCTGTCGATCACTTTTCTATAGAAAACTGTCCTGTCGATCACTTTTCTATAAAAAACTGTCGTGTCGATCACTTTTCTATAGAAAACTGTCCTTTCAATCACTTTTCTATAGAAAACTGTCCTGTCTATCACTTTTCTATAGAAAACTTTCCCGTCGATCACTTTTCTATAGAAAACTGTCCTGTTGATAACTTTTCAATAGAAAACTGTCTTGTCGATCACTTTTCTATAAAAAACTGTCCTGTCGATCACTTTTCTATAGAAAACTGTCCTTTCAATCACTTTTTTTATAGAAAACTGTCCTGTCGATCTCTTTTCTATAGAAAACTGTCATGTCGATCACTTTTGTATAAAAAACTGTCCTGTCGATCATTTTTTTATAGAAAACTGTCCTGTCGATCTCTTTTCTATAGAAAACTGTCCTTTCAATCACTTTTCTATAGAAAACTATTCTATCGATCACTTTTCTATAGAAAACTGTTATGTCGATCACTTTTCTATAGAAAACTGTCCTGTCGATCTCTTTTCTATAGAAAACTGTCATGTCGATCACATTTCTATAGAAAACTGTCATGTCGATCTCTTTTCTATAGAAAACTGTCATGTCGATCACTTTTCTATAGAAAACTCTCCTGTTGATCACTTTTCTACAGAAAACTGTCCTGTTGATCACTTTTCTACAGAAAACTGTCCTGTCGATCACTTTTCTATAGAAAACTGTACTGTCGATCACTTTTCTATAGAAAACTGTCCTGTCGATCACTTTTCTATAGAAAACTGTCCTGTCGATCACTTTCCTATAGAAAACTGTCCTGTCGATAACTTTTCTACAGAAAACTGTCCTGTCGATAACTTTTCAATAGAAAATAGTCCAGTTATCTTCGACTTTACTATAGAAAACTGTCCTGTTTATAATTGACTTTTCTATAGAAAATTATCCTGTTGATCTTTGACTTTTCTCTACAAAACTTTCCTTTTGATCTTTGACTTTTCTATAGAAAACCATCCATCAAGTTTTAATAGATAACTATTTACTTTCAAAAAGAATACTACCTTTTTTTATATAGATTTCTTTCCTGTAGAAAATTTGTATGAAAAACTGTTATGCAGGCAAAGTTTAACTTTATTTTATCGAGGAAGCATTTCATCCTTACAAGAAAACTCTACAAATTGTTAAAACTAATAAAGTCAAAATACTATTAAAACTCCACCCGCTATATTAAAATCGGCAATATTTTTATACTGTTTATAACCTTGTAAGGCGAAAAAAAAAAAAAATATTTAAAAAAATTTCTTCAACATTGTAGACTTGGCGTAATTTATGAGTCAACATTTGTTTGGCTGTGCTGGCTTACCTCCCATTAAATTGTTGCTCACTTTAGAACAAAATTTAAAATAAAAACATTTCATTTCTGCACCAATTTTGTATTTGTTTGTTTTCTTTGCCACCACATTCATACACTGTTTTTTCCATTAAAAGTGCAGGGTGGTGTCCATGGTGCTGGTTGTCTTGTTGGTGGTTGTTGCTGTTTATATCATGTTTGGCCATTAAGTGCTTAATGAGCAACAACAAAATCAACAACAACAACAACAAAGTAATAAAAAAGGAACACATTAAAGTAACAAATACATTTGACAATTTAGAACATAGATAGACATTGTTGGAGAAGACATACGTCATCGTTGTCGTGTCAATTAAAGAAGAAACAAATACCAAATCCATTGAACATAGTTAAAACTTAGCAGACAGACAAACATTAGGGAGGGGTTGCAGTTTAGTTTAATAAGGAAAATATAAAGAAAACCACTTTTTTTCGTTCACTTTTTTTGTTTAAATAGATTTATTTTGGAAGTCTTTTGATTCTTGTTTTCAAAGAAATTCTAAATTTTTCTCATTTTTATCTGAAAATTTCTAATTTGATTACCTTCCTATTTGAACATTCTCTTTCTCAGCAACTCTTCAATAGAAAATTTCTCTTTCGATTACTGTTTTTTAGAAAAATCGATCCATTTTCTGGAAAACTTTGCTGTCATTCACTTTTCTATAGAAAACTGTAATGTCGATCACTTTTCTATGGAAAACTGTCCTGTCGATAACTTTTCTATAGAAAACTGTTCTGTCGATCACTTTTCTATAGAAAACTATCCTGTCGATCACTTTTCTATAGAAAACTATCCTGTCGATCACTTTTCTATAGAAAACTGTGCTGTCTATCACTCTTCTATAGAAAACTGTCCTGTCGATCGCTTTTCTATAGAAAACTTTCCTGTCGATCGCATTTCTATAGAAAACTGTCCTGTCGGTCGCTTTTCTATAGAAAACTGTCCTGTCGATCACTTTTCTATGAAAAACACTGTCCTGCTGATCACTTTTCTATAGAAAACTGTCCTGTCGATCACTTTTCTATGGAAAACTTTCCTGTCGATCACTTTTCTATAGAAAACGGTCCTGTCGATCACTTTTCTATAGAAAACTGTCCTGTCGATCACTTTTCTATAGAAAACGGTCCTGTCGATCACTTTTCTATAGAAAACGGTCCTGACGATCACTTTTCTATAGAACACGGTCCTGTCGATCACTTTTCTATAGAAAACGGTCCTGTCGATCACTTTTCTATAGAAAACGGTCCTGTCGATCACTTTTCTATAGAAAACGGTCCTGTCGATCACTTTTCTATAGAAAACGGTCCTGTCGATCACTTTTTTCTTATAGAAAACGGTCCTGTCGATCACTTTTCTATAGAAAACGGTCCTGTCGATCACTTTTCTATAGAAAACTGTCCTATCGGTCACTTTTTAATAGAAAACTGTCCTGTTGGTCACTTTACTATAGAAAACTGTCCTGTCGATCACTTTTCTATAGAAAACTGTCCTTCGATCACTTTTCTATAGAAAACTGTCCTGTCGATCACTTTTCTATAGAAAACTGTCCTGTCGACCACTTTTCTATAGAAAACTGTCCTGTCGATCACTTTTCTATAGAAAACTGTCCTGTCGATCACTTTTCTATAGAAAACTGTCCTGTCGATCACTTTTCTATAAAAAACTGTCCTGTCGATCACTTTTCTATATGTCCTGTCAATCACTTTTCTGTAGAAAACTGCCATTCACTTTTTATAGAAAACTTCTCTGTCAATATATATTCTATAGAAAACTTCTATATCGATACCTTTTTTACAGAAAACAGCATCGAAAGATTATCTATCGATCATTTTCAATAAAAAGCTTTTAATTTTCAATATAAACCTTCATTGTCTATTACTTTTCTGTAAATAATTTCTCTGTTAAACGCTATTCTATAGAAAAAAAAAACTCTCTTCTCTTTAGATCCCACGAGTGAGGACCCATCTAATGTTTTGCAAGTATACCAGTATATGTATTTAAAAATAAAAAAATCAACAACTAATATCTAATTGTATCAATGAAACTTTTGTGGTCAAAAGTCACTTATACATGATTGGATCTCTTAATTGAATTTTAAAAATAGAACAAAAAGCAAAGCGTGTTTTAATGTTCTACATAATATTGACTGACTGACGTCGACGACGACGACTACTATTCTTGTTTGATGTTATTTTATACAGTTTGATTTAGTTTTTTATAAGCATGAACTCGTATTTAACATTACATTAAATTCTTACTTTTCCACTTACCTTAATGGTGGCTTTACTTAAACTTATAGCACCACGGCAGCCAAAATCTGATTCCGATTCGGATTTGTAATAGGATAAAGTGCCATCTTTTAAAACAATATAGCGTGGTTGCCAGCCATAAATATAATTGGTCCATTTACTTAGATAACCACGTAACTCAACGGTGCTATTGTCTATAAATTCCAAATCAGATTCTTCCGATTGTGAGGCAGAATCATTATTGAGCAGCACGGTGTTGTTCGATTCGGCTATAGTGACTTGTGGTGTTGCTGAGGGCGCCATTTGGGGTGGGGCTATATCGCCAACACCACCACCACCATTTAATTGTTTAATGTATTCCATTGTATTAATTGTTGTGATTGTTTGTTTGTTTATTTAAGAGTTTAGCAAATACTGCATGAAAATATGTAGTTCAACAATTGTTGGAGTTTTCTTTGCTCAACACACATTCATTAATACATACAGATACCACTCTCTCTTTTGGCAGCCAGCAATGTAGACAATTGCCGGACCCTATAAGTGGACCTCTGCTTTACAACTATGCCTTGGGGACCCAGTGGGCAACACAAGTGTTTAAAAATAAGCTAGAATGTTAAAACACATTCAGGGCCACGTAATTTAGACTTTTGTTCGATTAGCTGCTCCACCATATAGTATAATAAATACAATTATTAATAAATATTCGTATTGTTACAAATTTATTGTTATCTTAACTTGTTGTGTTTAGTTGTTGTTGCACTTTTTAAAATGAAATAAAACAAAAAAAAACTAATCTTTAATTTATTTTCTCTGATATTGACTGGTTATCCATACACCGGTGGTTTACGTTTGGAACACTTTCTTAATCATCAAAAGCACACACATTTTTTATTTTTATGTTTAAATTCAGCACAATTATCACAAAGAAATAAAAATTTTCTTTCTTTTTTAATTTTCAAGTTAATGGACGGCCTTGTATTTTTATTTTTGATTTTGTATTTATTCCACTTCACTTGAAATACTTTTTATTTAAACTTGTATTATGCAAATTTATTTTAATTAAAAATAATTTTTTAATAATTAATGTTTTATTGTTTTATTTATTTCTATCACTTCTTTACGTCTCTCGCAATGTTGTCACTATTTTTCCAACAACTTTATTTATGGCAATAATTTTTTGTTTTTGTTATTCTTTGCCTTCTTGTTCACATCTGCACGAATGACATCGAATAGCAGAGAAAAAGAAGAAGAACAAAAATTCTAATTTGTCATTGTAATCAGCTGACTGGTTTGGTGAGATAAACAGTAACAAAAATACCGTTGTATGGTGAATTACAAGTTGGGTTGAGTTCATCTCTTTATAGAGTTGTATTCGTTTGTTTAAAAAGGGAAATTACCGTTATATTTGAATTAATTTAAGTAATATTATTAATATACAAATACAGCAGAAAGAAAGAATAGGAATTGCATTGAATAAGAAATAAGTTTATGTAAACAATAACAAACCAAAACAGAACAATAACTGAACTAGAACAAAACTAAAACAGCACTAGAATAGAACTAAACCAAACTAGAACAGAGCTAGAACAGAACTGGAACAGAACTAGAACATAACTAGAACAGAATTAGAACAAAAGTAGAACAGAACTAGAACAGAACTAGAACAGAACTAGAACAGAACTAGAAGAGAACTAGAACAGAAATAGAACAGAACCAGAACTAGAACAGAACTAGAACTGAACTAGAACAGAACTAGAACAGAACTAGAACAGAACTAGAACAGAACTAGAACAGAACTAGAACAGAACTAGAACAGAACTAGAACAGAACTAGAACAGAACTAGAACAGAAATAGAACAGAACAGAACTAGAACAGAACTAGAACAGAACAGAACTAGAACAGAACTAGAACAGAACTAGAACATAACTAGAACAGAACTAGAACAGAACTAGAACAGAACTAGAACAGAACTAGAACAGACTAGAAGAGAACTAGAACAGAACTAGAACAGAACTAGAACAGAACTAGAACAGAACTAGAACGGAACTAGAAAAGAACTAGAACAGAACTAGAACAGAACTAGAACGGAACTAGAACAGAACTAGAACAGAACTAGAACAGAACAGAACTAGAACAGAACTAGAACAGAACTAGAACAGAACTAGAACAGAACTAGAACAGAACTAGAACAGAACTAGAACAGAACTAGAACAGAACTAGAACAGAACTAGAACAGAACTAGAACAGAACTAGAACAGAACTAGAACAGAACTAGAACAGAACTAGAACAGAACTAGAACAGAACTAGAACAGAACTAGAACAGAACTAGAACAGAACTAGAACAGAACTAGAACAGAACTAGAACAGAACTAGAACAGAACTAGAACAGAACTAGAACTAGAACAGAACTAGAACAGAACAGAACTAGAACAGAACAGAACAGAACTAGAACAGAACTAGAACAGAACTAGAACAGAACTAGAACAGAAATAGAACAGAAATAGAACAGAACAGAACTAGAACAGAACTAGAACAGAACTAGAACACTACTAGAACAGAACTAGAACATAACTAGAACAGAACTAGAACAGAACTAGAACAGAACTAGAACAGAACTAGAACAGAACTAGAACAGAACTAGAACAGAAATAGAACAGAACAGAACAGAACAGAACTAGAACAGAACTAGAACTAGAACAGAACTAGAACACTACTAGAACAGAACTAGAACATAACTAGAACAGAACTAGAACAGAACTAGAACAGAACTAGAACAGAACTAGAACAGAACTAGAACAGAACTAGAACAGAACTAGAACAGAACTAGAACAGAACTAGAACAGAACTAGAACAGAACTAGAACAGAACTAGAACAGAACTAGAACAGAACTAGAACAGAACTAGAACAGAACTAGAACAGAACTAGAACAGAACTAGAACAGAACTAGAACAGAACTAGAACAGAACTAGAACAGAACTAGAACAGAACTAGAACAGAACTAGAACAGAACTAGAACAGAACTAGAACAGAACTAGAACAGAACTAGAACAGAACTAGAATAGAACAGAACTAGAACAGAACTAGAACAGAACTAGAACAGAACTAGAACAGAACTAGAACAGAACTAGAACAGAACTAGAACGGAACTAGAACAGAACTAGAACAGAACTAGAACAGAACTAGAACAGAACTAGAACAGAACTAGAACAAAACTAGAACAGAACTTCAACAAAATTAGAACTGAACTGGAGCATAACTACTTAGAAAATAAAATTACTTTCAACTTTTGTATAAAAATTATTATTTTCTTTTAATTTTATTAAATACTACTCTACAATAAAATAAATAAGATAATAATTTCGTTTAATAATATTATTTACAAAAAGTATAAAAAAATAAATAAACATTTAAATAAATAAATTAGCCAACATTTATATAATTTACATTTTCTTTTATAATGTCTTATTTAACTAAAATATGACTTTCATAGAACACTCATTTGCATTTACATATAAAATCTACAACATTTACAACAAAAAATAAATAAATAAATAAATAAATAAATAATTTTATAAATAAATTCAATAAATAATTAATTAACTAAATATAACAACATAGAGATTTTTTATGTTTTATAATTTAAATTCTTGGTTCGAGTATTATTATTTTTTTTTTCTAATTATTTTACAAACTTTACATGGAATATTGATTATTACTTTTGGCTTTATTGTATTGTGTTCCCTCAATTTCATTATCTACGGGATTTCCCGTTTCTGTAACTTGTTGTTCTAAAATTTCAGCAGCTGATAAATTTTCGGGTAGCTGTGGTTTGGTTATTTCTACTGCCTCTTGCTCGTGATACTCACCTTTGGGGGGTTCCCTGGAAGAACACATGTTTTTAAAATATTTAAAATAAAAATAATCTTATTTTTTGGAGTTTTTTAATTACCTGTATTTATGAGTTTGCAGGACTTTAAATACACTTCTGGGACATTCTTTATGATATGGGAAACATTCGCCGGGAGCAGTACGACCTTCACCGATTTCTTGAGCTGTCACATATTCTGGTATTAGATCCGAAAAGGGTGATCTTGTAACACTGCAAAGAGAAAAGTTAGGATTAGAACTGAACTAGAAGTGAACTAGAACTGAACTAGATCTGAACTAGAACTGAACTAGAACCGAACTAGAACTGAACTAGAACTGAACTAGAACTGAACTAGAATTAGAACTGAACTAGAACTGAACTAGAATTGAACTAGAACTGAACTAGATCTGAAAAAGAACTGAACTAGAACTGAACTAGAACTGAACTAGAACTGAACTAGAACTAGAACTGAACTAGAACTGAACTAGAACTGAACTAGAACTGAACTAGAACTGAACTAGAACTGAACTAGAACTGAACTAGAACTAGAACTGAACTAGAACTGAACTAGAACTGAACTAGAACTGAACTAGAACTGAACTAGAACTGAACTAGAACTGAACTAGAACTGAACTAGAACTGAACTAGAACTAGAACTGAACTAGAACTGAACTAGAACTGAACTAGAACTGAAATAGAACTGAACTAGAACTGAACTAGAACTGAACTAGAACTGAACTAGAACTGAACTAGAACTGAACTAGAACTGAACTAGAACTGAACTAGAACTGAACTAGAACTGAACTAGAACTGAACTAGAACGAACTAGAACAGAACTAGACAGAACTAGAACAGAACTAGAAGAAAGAACAGAACTAGAACAGAACTAGAACAAACTAGAACAGAACTAGAACAGAACTAGACAGAACTAGAACAGAACTAGAACAAACAGAGCTAGAACAGAGCTCGAACAGAACTAGAACAGAACTAGAACAGAACTAGAACAGAACTAGAACAGAACTAGAACAGAACTAGAACAGAACTAGAACAGAACTAGAACAGAACTAGAACAGAACTAGAACAGAACTAGAACAGAACTAGAACAGAACTAGAACAGAACTAGAACAGAACTAGAACAGAACTAGAACAGAACTAGAACAGAACTAGAACAGAACTAGAACAGAACTAGAACAGAACTAGAACAGAACTAGAACAGAACTAGAACAGAACTAGAACAGAACTAGAACAGAACAGAACTAGAACAGAACAGAACTAGAACAGAACAGAACTAGAACAGAACTAGAACAGAACTAGATCAGAACTAGAACAGAACTAGAACAGAACTAGAACAGAACTAGAACAGAACTAGAACAGAACTAGAACAGAACTAGAACAGAACTAGAACAGAACTAGAACAGAACTAGAACAGAACTAGAACAGAACTAGAACAGAACTAGAACAGAACTAGAACAGAACTAGAACAGAACTAGAACAGAACTAGAACAGAACTAGAACAGAACTAGAACAGAACTAGAACAGAACTAGAACAGAACTAGAACAGAACAAACTAGAACAGAACAGAACTAGAACAGAACTAGAACAGAACTAGATCAGAACTAGAACAGAACTAGAACAGAACTAGAACAGAACTAGAACAGAACTAGAACAGAACTAGAACAGAACTAGAACAGAACTAGAACAGAACTAGAACAGAACTAGAACAGAACTAGAACAGAACTAGAACAGAACTAGAACAGAACTAGAACAGAACTAGAACAGAACTAGAACAGAACAGAGCTAGAACAGAACTAGAACAGAACTAGAACAGAACTAGAACAGAACTAGAACAGAACTAGAACAGAACTAGAACAGAACTAGAACAGAACTAGAACAGAACTAGAACAGAACTAGAACAGAACTAGAACAGAACTAGAACAGAACTAGAACAGAACTAGAACAGAACAGAACTAGAACAGAACTAGAACAGAACTAGATCAGAACTAGAACAGAACTAGAACAGAACTAGAACAGAACTAACACAGAACTAACACAGAACTAGAACAGAGCTAGAACAGAACTAGAACAGAACTAGAACAGAAATAGAACAGAAATAGAACAGAAATAGAACAGAAATAGAACAGAAATAGAACAGAAATAGAACAGAAATAGAACAGAACTAGAACAGAACTAGAACAGAACTAGAACAGAACTAGAACAGAACTAGAACAGAACTAGAACAGAACTAAAAACAACAAGAACTAAACTAGATCTAGAACTCAATAATCACTCTACATATTTCAAAATATTCACTACGAACTTACGTCAAGAACAATTTCGCCATTTCACCAAACACACCATAATGATCGATTTTTCTCGAATGAACCTCACAGATCGTGCGCAACAGACATGCCTTGCCATTCATGCCGAACGTAGAGAGAAAATCTTCTACCACACCATATAAAATTACTCTAGAAAAACAAAAATGAAATCAATTACATTTCTTTTTACATTATACATATGATTGTAAAAGCCAAAAAACAGTTTATACCTTTCACCGCCATGGAATATATGCTTAAAACGTTCTGGCAATTGAGGCAAGTCAACATGATCATCATTCACATGTTCCTTGATATTGAAATTAGAATTTCTCGATTGTGTATATTGTTTTTGTTGTTCGCTTAGATCACGTTTCCGTTTGAAATGTAAATATTTAGTCATGTAGTTGCCCAACATTTCCCCCGCCGAGTGACCAAATGAACGTGAAAATATAGGCGGCAAATCACCCAACGGATTTTGGTTGTCGGTCAGACCCAATTTGTCGAAATCAACTGGAAAATAAAATTACAAATTTTCACTTTTGTTTGTCTGCTATTTAAAAATGTATTTTTACTCACTTGTTACGGGAAAACTGATGGACATGTTTGAAAAGAACCCCTCCGGAGGATGTCTGACCAATGGTAAAGCAATGGTGGGGGTAAATGTTAATGTAGTGCCTGGTGGCAATGCCAAGCGTCCATCATCTGTTATCCATACTAAACGTTTTCTACGTGAATGTGGCTGCTGGGAATCTGTATCAACAAATTCTTCCTTTTCTATTTCATCTGCCAGTGTATTGACATGTGTTGTTTCCGCATGTGTTGTAGCAGTGTCTTTGTTTGTTGTTGCTGTTGTACATGTTGTGTGTGCTATCAACACCGTAAATGCAATTAAAAATAAAACTATTTTTGAGGTGTTTTCTAAGCACAGCCACGTTGAACTCATGGTTTATGTTATTTATTACTGGAAAATGGAAAATTAAATGAATTAGATGAAAAATTTTATATAAATAAGGAAATTGTTAAAACTGGCTTTAAAGCTTAAACTTCATTTTAATGTTTTTAGAAGTTCCTAAAATTACTTTTCAGGATTATTACAAGTTGTGTGTCATTAAATCATTAGAACTAATACTGAACAATTACTAACTAGAACTGAAGTAGAACTGAACTAGAACTGAACTAGAACTGAACTAGAACTGAACTAGAACTGAACTAGAACTGACTAGAACTGAACTAGAACTGAACTAGAACTGAACTAGAACTGAACTAGAACTGAACTAGAACTGAACTAGAACTGAACTAGAACTGAACTAGAACTGAACTAGAACTGAACTAGAACTGAACTAGAACTGAACTAGAACTGAACTAGAACTGAACTAGAACTGAACTAGAACTGAACTAGAACTGAACTAGAACTGAACTAGAACTGAACTAGAACTGAACTAGAACTGAACTAGAACTGAACTAGAACTGAACTAGAACTGAACTAGAACTGAACTAGAACTGAACTAGAACTGAACTAGAACTGAACTAGAACTGAACTAGAACTGAACTAGAACTGAACTAGAACTGAACTAGAACTGAACTAGAACTGAACTAGAACTGAACTAGAACTGAACTAGAACTGAACTAGAACTGAACTAGAACTGAACTAGAAACTGAACTAGAACTGAACTAGAACTGAACTAGAACTGAACTAGGAACTGAACTAGAACTGAACTAGAACTGAACTAGAACTGAACTAGAACTGAACTAGAACTGGAACTAGAACTGAACTAGAACTGAACTAGAACTGAACTAGAACTGAACTAGAACTGAACTAGAAACTGAACTAGAACTGAACTAGAACTGAACTAGAACTGAACTAGAACTGAACTAGAACTGAACTAGAACTGAACTAGAACTGAACTAGAACTGAACTAGAACTGAACTAGAACTGAACTAGAACTGAACTAGAACTGAACTAGAACTAGAACTAGAACTGAACTAGAACTGAACTAGAACTGAACTAGAACTGAACTAGAACTGAACTAGAACTGAACTAGAACTGAACTAGAACTGAACTAGAACTGAACTAGAACTGAACTAGAACTGAACTAGAACTGAACTAGAACTGAACTAGAACTGAACTAGAACTGAACTAGAACTGAACTAGACTGAACTAGAACTGAACTAGAACTGAACTAGAACTGAACTAGAACTGAACTAGAACTGAACTAGAACTGAACTAGAACTGAACTAGAACTGAACTAGAACTGAACTAGAACTGAACTAGAACTGAACTAGAACTGAACTAGACTGAACTAGAACTGAACTAGAACTGAACTAGAACTGAACTAGAACTGAAACTAGAACTGAACTAGAACTGAACTAGAACTGAACTAGAACTGAACTAGAACTGAACTAGAACTGAACTAGAACTGAACTAGAACTGAACTAGAACTGAACTAGAACTGAACTAGAACTGAACTAGAAATGAACTAGAACTGAACTAGAACTGAACTAGAACTGAACTAGAACTGAACTAGAACTGAACTAGAACTGAACTAGAACTAACTAGAACTGAACTAGAATTGAACTAGAACTGAACTAGAACTGAACTAGAACTGAACTAGAACTAACTGAACTGAACTAGAACTGAACTAGAACTGAACTAGAACTGAACTAGAACTGAACTAGAACTGAACTAGAACTGAACTAGAACTGAACTAGAACTGAACTAGAACTGAACTAGAACTGAACTAGAACTGAACTAGAACTGAACTAGAACTGAACTAGAACTGAACTAGAACTGAACTAGAACTGAACTAGAACTGAACTAGAACTGAACTAGAACTGAACTAGAACTGAACTAGAACTGAACTAGAACTGAACTAGAACTGAACTAGAACTGAACTAGAACTGAACTAGAACTGAACTAGAACTGAACTAGAACTGAACTAGAACTGAACTAGAACTGAACTAGAACTGAACTAGAACTGAACTAGAACTGAACTAGAACTAGAACTGAACTAGAACTCAACTAGAACTCAACTAGAACTGAACTACAACTGAACTAGAACTGAACTAGAACTGAACTAGAACTGAACTAGAACTGAACTAGAACTGAACTAGAACTGAACTAGAACTGAACTAGAACTGAACTAGAACTGAACTAGAACTGAACTAGAACTGAACTAGAACTGAACTAGAACTGAACTAGAACTGGACAAGAACTGAACTAGAACTAGAACTCAACTAGAACTGAAGTAGAACTGACTAGAAAACTTGAATGTTCGAAAACATGAATTTAAAATTGAACTTCATTTATTATCTTTTTAGCTTAAAACCTTTTATTAAAATAAAGATTGGGATATTTTGCACATCCACTATTTTTGATTTAAAATTCGACACAATTTGATTGAACAAATATCTTATGCACAATTTGTTTTATATGTTTTTAAAATAACGTATAAAAACCATAAAAATACCTTTACATTCACATAACTTATACACTTTTATATAATATCCCAAAATTTTCCATTAATTTCTTAAAAATTCAAAAATTTTAATTCAAAACCTAAATTGTAAATCAAAGTTATTTATAAACATAAATTGCAAATATGTACCTGCAAAACATTATTTATAAATAATAAATTGTTTTTAAATTAAGCTTAACTGTTTTTGCATTAACTAAAAGCTTTTGTTAAAACAAAAACCTGACCTGTATGTTAATAATCACAAGGAAAAAACATTAATGACGAAAGAAAATAAACAAATTAAAAAGGGGAAAAATTTATAAAAACAAAACCAATAAAAAAAACTAAAATAAATGAAAGTGAATTTCAAGTATTTAATTAAATAATTTCAAAAATAAAATTTCATAAAAACGCGTGACAGAATTTAATAATAAAAATTATTAGCCACTTAAAACAATTATCAATATTTAATAGGGGGTTCAATAAAGGGTCATCGAACACACGCCCATTAACAACTTTAATAATTAGCAAAAAATATAGAATTAAATTTTAAATAAGAGGCTTAATTGTTTTATAACGAAAACGTAAACAAACAAAAAACTATTAATTTAAATAATAATGTCAATGTTTTGTTATAAAAGTGAGGTACAATTCACTATAATTGAATGTGTCACAATAGAAAGTTTTGTAATGCATTTGACGTTTACTACTGATTTTGAATAACAATTAAGTAATGTTTCGATTATTGATATCATTTCATTAAATTACAAATATACAAAATATTTTGATTAAATTTGTGATTGTGTCACACATAGTAACACAAACAAACACACACAAACACGTTCGAAATAAACAGACACTTGATTATATCGGTTATCGCATCGAAAAATTATAAGGAAGTGTGCTAAATCGCAGACATACCATACCAGTATGTCTGTCTGTCTCGAGTAACCATATACATACATGGATTTTGACGTCAGTTTGCATTTAAATTCGTTTGGACAATTTGGAAATTCTTGCAAAGCACGTTTTCGTCACAATATTATGTAATAAATCATTGTTTTGTGGTATATTTGGTTGATTCACTTTCATTACCAATGAAATACTATTAAAAAGCGTGAGAATTCTAAGGAATTTTTCCAGCAGTGACATAAAAACAAAAGACTTAAGCAGCAAACTTTATTTTCATACATTCTTAATAAGAAAACTAAAAGCAACCACCACTACTACATTTACAACGACGAGAAGAAACTTGTTTTTTTGTCATTTTTTATTTAACTCTTAATTAAATTTACATATTTGAAAAAAAAAAACAATTTCTTTCATTAAATGAAAAGTCTTTAACTGACCCACATCCTTATAAATACCCTACCTACAGTGTTCTACTAAGACAAACCAACAGTTATGATATATCAAAAAGTAGTCAACAGTGTTAGATCGAAAATTTGGCAGACATGTTTTCACAGAAGAGTGTCACTTTTTAAGTAATAAATCGTTTTTTCTTTCAGAAATATAGTTTCATTCTTTGCCAAAGTTCAATTTCTTTATTTTTTTTCATTATCCATAGTTTTGAACAAATCCTCTTTCTCTATAAACGTGATTACTTTGTCGGTCATTTATATAATTCAAAATGAGTGTAGATTTCTGTTTTGAAAGGTATTTCCACTTAGATTGTTAAGTTGGCGATGAGCTTTATATGTATTACAAATGATTGATAAGGAGTTTTAACAACAACAATAATATATTTTTTTTCAAAAATTCCACAAATGCATGTTAAACAACTTACACAAAAAGTAAACTAATCTATTTTAAGTCTATAGTTTAGTCTAGTCTATAGTCTAGTCTATAGTCTAGTCTATAGTCTAGTCTATAGTCTAGTCTATAGTCTAGTCTATAGTCTAGTCTATCTAGTCTAGTCTAGTCTATAGTCTAGTCTATAGTCTAGTCTATAGTCTAGTCTATAGTCTAGTCTATAGTCTAGTCTATAGTCTAGTCTATAGTCTAGTCTATAGTCTAGTCTATAGTCTAGTCTATAGTCTAGTCTATAGTCTAGTCTATAGTCTAGTCTATAGTCTAGTCTATAGTCTAGTCTATAGTCTAGTCTATAGTCTAGTCTATAGTCTAGTCTATAGTCTAGTCTATAGTCTAGTCTATAGTCTATAGTCTAGTCTATAGTCTAGTCTATAGTCTAGTCTATAGTCTAGTCTATAGTCTAGTCTATAGTCTAGTCTATAGTCTAGTCTATAGTCTAGTCTATAGTCTAGTCTATAGTCTAGTCTATAGTCTAGTCTATAGTCTAGTCTATAGTCTAGTCTATAGTCTAGTCTATAGTCTAGTCTATAGTCTAGTCTATAGTCTAGTCTATAGTCTAGTCTATAGTCTAGTCTATAGTCTAGTCTATAGTCTAGTCTATAGTCTAGTCTATAGTCTAGTCTATAGTCTAGTCTATAGTCTAGTCTATAGTCTAGTCTATAGTCTAGTCTATAGTCTAGTCTATAGTCTAGTC